ACGTTCTCCCACCACGGAGTTATTACTTGCATCTGTCCGCAGACGCTAATCACGCCACACGTCTTTGACACCAATTTTGACATGACAAATCATACGAAAGCCTGCAGATAGCTACAATACATCCAATATTCTGGCTTCCAACATAATTACATATAACGAAGGTAGATATTCCTTATCTACTCACTGAATCGAAAGTGGTTGTTTGCTCCCTCATTTAAGGAACCAAATTTGTTAATTTACTCGCACATGAGGTGAGAAATTTTAACTCCCGTGGGAGTCACATAAATCAATTAATTCATTATTTATTTATTTATTTATTTCTCAAACAGGTTTACACCTAATTACATGAGAAAACTATACTACAAACAAACTTAATATTAAATCAGTCTTAATGTGCATAAAGATATCTGCTGATGTTTCCAATAATTTTCCAATATAAATTCATACTTTCATCATATAGTTGGTACAGTGTCGATGAACTGTTGTTTGGTTGACATAACAAGATTTATTCAACATTGTCAAAATATTGTTTAAGTAACTTGAAGAATTGTGGGGGGGGAAGAGCAATATCGATTTCTGACAGAAGGAGAACATTATTCGTTATCTTCAACATGGAGATTACAGGGGAGCAGTTGTTCGTTGTTACCAGAGGGATTTCAAAAAACTGGTTAAGCCTTGTGAGTCTGATGGGTACTCTTCTTTTCAACAAAGAGTGCAAATACGGAGTGTGGTATAATTTGTTGTACAGTTTATAACACATTATAACACTACTGCTGGTTCTTCGAGAATCGAGACTGCCTATCGTGAATTCTTTTCGGAGCATCTCACTTCGAATTACATTAAAGTCAGGAAAACCTTATATTTTTTCAGGTAGAGGAACCTCAGGAATTTGTTTTGTATTTTTTCTAGAGTATGCTTGTACAGAAATTGATGAGGGTTCCATACAACCGAGCAGTATTCCATCTTTGGTCTGACGAGTGTATTGTACAACACAGTTATTGTGCCAGTATCTTTGAACAATTTACTTTGCCTAAGGACGAATCCAAGAGTTCGGAGGCCTCGTGAGGCTATATATTCTATATGTGTTCTGAATGAAAGTGTGGAATCATAGTGAACACCCAGATCTTTGACTGTTTCGACTCTTTTCAATACATCATCATTCATCGAGTAATTATATTCGATCGTTCCTCTTTTTCTAGTACATGGCAGCACGACACATTTAGCTATGTTGAAAGGAAGATCATGGTCTACACTCCATTGATAAATACTATTTATATCGTGCTGTAGTTTTTGACAATCTTGCAAACTCTCAATTCGTCTATAAAACTTCAAATCGTCTGCAAAGAGCACACAGTCCGAGTATTTCAAGTGGGCAGGCAAGCTATTGATGAAAATAAGGAACAGTAAAGGTCCAAGGTTTGAACCTTGTGGCACCCCAGAGTGGGAATTGAATGTTTCAGATAGATTGCCTTTATATCTTACCTTGTATGTTCGCTTGCTCAGATAGGAAGCAAATAATTCGAGAGTATGCCGATTAGCCCCATTTTTAAATAGCTCTTTCAATAGAATATCATGGTTGACCTTGTCAAATGCTTTTCGGAAGTCAGTATATACCACGTCTACTTGTGTGCCTCGATCTATGTATCACACATCGTGACAAAAAACTAGCAAGTTGGTGGATGTTGATTTTTTTTGGTACAAAGCCATGTTGTTCTTCACAGATATGATCCTTCACCCAGTTCCACACTTTCACATAAATTATCTGTTATGACAGAATTGTCAAATTGACTTCCGTTCAAATGCCGTGAATTGACCATGAAATACTATTATCTTTGTATTATAATGATTTGGATTGAGAGAAAACAAAATATCACCTGCCGTGGGAGCAAAAATAAATTGGCTTCATCTTGCTGATATGAAACATTAAAAAGAAGGCGCAATCGATGTTTTTCGCCAACGTTCCGAAATTATCCGCAAGTGTTTGGAACTAGTGTCGGACTCATAAACAACAGAAAATAATGATGAACTCAAAGTCACCTGAATTATATTATCTAAAATGGTAAATATAGGTATAGGTATAGTTTGTTTTCTAGCCTGGTTTTTATAAGACATGAATATTATCTCGTTATACAACAAGCACTGAGGGATTTCAAATATTCGTGATCTATTTTCCTGAAGGCACATTGTGATATATTCAAGGAGAGAAAATCTAGAAAATTACGCTGCCAATTTGAACTCGTACTACGAAAGCGTAGAACGGACATACAACATTTTTTTAGATAGCTTCGAGTTCGAACTCGAAATTATAGATAGTTTCGAGTTCGAACTCGAAATTATAGATAATTTCGTGTTCGAACTCGAAATTAAGAGATAGCTTCGAGTTCGAACTCGAAATTATAGATTGCTTCGAGTTCGAACTCGAAATTATAGATAGCTTCGAGTTCGAACTCGAAATTAAGAGATAGCTTCGAGTTCGAACTCGAAATTATAGATTGCTTCGAGTTCGAACTCGAAATTATAGATAGCTTCGAGTTCGAACTCGAAATTAAGAGATAGCTTCGAGTTCGAACTCGAAGCAATCTATAATTTCGAGTTCGAACTCGAAGCTATCTCTTAATTTCGAGTTCGAATTTCGAGTTCGAACTCGAAGCTATCTCTTAATTTCGAGTTCGAACTCGAAGCTATCTATAATTTCGAGTTCGAACTCGAAGCAATCTATGATTTCGAGTTCGAACTCGAAGCTATCTCTTAATTTCGAGTTCGAACTCGAAGCTATCTATAATTTCGAGTTCGAACTCGAAGCAATCTATAATTTCGAGTTCGAACTCGAAGCAATCTATAATTTCGAGTTCGAACTCGAAGCTATCTCTTAATTTCGAGTTCGAACACGAAATTATCTATAATTTCGAGTTCGAACTCGAAGCTATCTATAATTTCGAGTTCGAACTCGAAGCTATCTCTTAATTTCGAGTTCGAATTTCGAGTTCGAACTCGAAGCTATCTCTTAATTTCGAGTTCGAACTCAAAGCTATCTATAATTTCGAGTTCGAACTCGAAGCTATCTCTTAATTTCGAGTTCGAACACGAAATTATCTATAATTTCGAGTTCGAACTCGAAGCTATCTATAATTTCGAGTTCGAACTCGAAGCTATCTAAAAAAATGTTGTATGTCCGTTCTACGCTTTCGTACTTTCGTATATAATTTGAAATGAAAATTATTCAATGGTTCACTTCATCTTCTTCATCGCTAAAATTAGAGCCCTCTTCACTATCATCTGCCAAATTGATAATAAATCGATTCTGACCGTTCAGATGGGTAGCACCCAGATTTCCATATATTATATTCTTCGAATCTAAAAGTTTTATTCACTCTTTCATGCCAATCAATAATAATCTTGTTAGGCAATTTCGTTCACTGAGCTCCACATCGTACACCTGCATTGTGAAAAGCTGCGTGGTCAATAAATACTCTTGAACTATTCTCGATTTTCATTTCTTTCCTACCTTCACAGGAATCTGTATCCAAGAACTTATAAAAAAAAACACACAACGAAGAAAAATTGTTTGAGATGGGGTATCGATACATCTAAATTCTTAAATATTATATTCTAGATGATCACATGAAAGATAGTTATACAAGGTGGCATTGGAATAGGTGCCAATATTTCAAACACTGAGAAAGCTCGACGAGTACAATCGAATGGCACAAATAAAAAAAATTCAAGGAACAAAATGAAATTTGAGGTTATACCTTTTTTCCACCCAAAGTTCTAAACTGTAGCAAATCTCACGTCATTTCTGTTCAAATTTCCACGCAGTAGGCACAATCACGCGAAGTTCAATCATTTAAATTGTTTTAAAGTGACGTACTCGATTTTTTGCTCGTATTTTCTTCAATTTTTGGAATGTGATTTCTCGTTAATTGGAAGAATTAGAAAAAAATCTGATATCATGGTAATATTCCTTAGATATGTTCACTTATTTCAAAAACACCTTGTATAGTTCCATACCCAGACAACAGCCGGATATGTATGGTTACATAATAATATATAGGGTGTTCTTAATATTCAAGGGGCCGATTCTTCGACTCATTCCAAGAATGAAAATACTCATGAACGAATGTCGTGAACGTCCTAACTTTTGAGATACAGGGTGTCAATGTTGAAAATATGCATAGATTATTTTTTTGTCCACCCTGTAAAGCTCTCCGTGATGGCAAAATTCAGTCTGCTATGTGACTGAATCTGTATAAAAATTTCAAAATATTACATACTGTGGTTATTCAGTAATGGATGTTCTGAATGGAGAACTCAGACATCAAAATTTGAAGTCCGCGTCTTTTCTCGAAAACGAAGCTTTCTATCGAGTTTCAACAGGTGAATCATTTTTGTACATAATTAAATATCCTTTCATGACATTGTATAAAATTTGAAATTTTTTCGTCGTTGCTCACTTTTAAGTAAAATATAAACAATTATATCTCCGTAACGGTGCCATTGGTACCAAATTTCATGAAGATGTATACAATATTGTCTCAGTTATCATAAAAAACTGAATATTTTTCAAAACTTCATCACCCTGTATCTCAAAAGTTCAGACTTTTCAGGACATACGTTCATATGGAGTTTTTTTTCTTAAAATGAGTCAAAGAATCACTCCCTCGGATATAAGCATATATCTTTAAGGAACACCCTGTATATCATATAATAATATAAAAGTAGTAGATATATGATTTTGATTCTTCCTATGGATGATACGGAAGCTGAAATCGTTGTTATCGTATATTTGTGGTCTTTCATCAGCGCTGAAAGAGCAATCTCTACAGGGCATCAGTGTGACATCCATTATATCAGCGCACCCGATGCACTGTGTTCAGTGACCCGATGGTGTAAAGAGTCGTAATGGTGCAAGGTTAGTAGAATGGTGGATTTCAAAACTCAGCTAAACTGAAAATTTACAATTACATTGAGAATCCTAGAAGCTGATTTGTTGAATAATCTGAGTATCCTCGAGTGTGCTCCTCTGTTTTAGGAGAAACATATCTCGGACCCGTTACCGCGAGTGGGATCTCTCCTCTCGCCGGCGACAGCCCCTGAATATTCCTGCCGCGATCCTCTTATTGAATTCAGAAGTGGCAACGGTGGCAATGGCAACCTGTAAACTGAACCTGGCAACCTTGCCATCATCGCCATTTTGATTATAGAATTTGTTCTTTTTGGAAGATTCGAAAAGTGTTATCGTTTTAATTCTCTACTTTAGGTGTATATTTCCTTTATCAGCGCTGATTGAGCGTACTCTCGAGTGTATCAGTGTAGTTTCTTACGGTCAAAAATATCCAGGAACAGGTAAATGCATGCAATACACATAACCGAAAGTCCATAGCTTTTTGGGTGTGAGTGCTCAAGCGGTGGTGTATAAAGACTATAAAGAGTCGTAAAGATGGATTTTAAAGATTTTACATACTGAACTAAACTGAATCAACAATTAAATTAATAGTTGAATAATTTTAGAATCATTAATCAGCTTCCAAAGATTCTTAAAATTGTAAAGTCTAGATGAGTTTTTAAATCCAACAAGCCTTGTAAAATTTCATATCTTTTAAAAGAAACATGTCCCGTTACCGTGAGTGGGACCTCTCGTGCAAAGTGTACGTGGGCAACTTGGGCTCCTCTGCCAGCAAGCACGAAATCGAGAGCGCTTTCGGCAAATACGGGCCCCTGCGGAACGTGTGGGTGGCAAGGAATCCCCCGGGCTTCGCTTTCGTAGAGTACGAAGACCCGCGGGATGCTGAAGATGCGGTTCGAGGCTTAGATGGAACGTAAGTGTGTGTTTTGAGCTCTACAGGTGGTAGATTTTTTGTATTGCTGTGTGGAGTTTATAAAATCATATTGAACTTTGAGGGGGGAATCATGCAACATTCATTATAAAATATGAGTATTATTATCACATTATGCAACTCATTTACAGAATTAACTCATTTTTTGAGGTTAATGTAGGTAATTTTGTACGTATCATGTGTTGTTTTTTTTAAATATTTTTTTGTAACATTTATTGTCATCTGAAAAACACGAATTTCTCATTAAAATGGTAAAACTGCATTGCCATGGTATTTTTTTCAAAAATTTTTTTTGGTACTTAATTATTTTTAAAACAGGAATTTGATAAATGTGAACAAATCATTAAGATATTTGACTAAAGTTACAAATTTCACCTTCTTTTTCGCCTGTCTTCTGGATGGCATTTAGAACAAGTTTCCCTTCTTCTTTCGTCATATTGGACAATTTATATGTAACAATGTATGACACATTTTTTTCTATTATATAAGTAATTCAACTTTAAATTTGATTTTCTTGAGATTTATCCATTTTAGTGAAAATAAGAAATATTATCATTTCAGAAATAATGGCAAAGCAATCTATTGACATTTGACATCTCATAAATGGCCATCATCTGGTATGCTTGTTCACTAAATATGAAAAACTCTCCATATAAATCATTTTCTATATATAAATGTGTCATTGAAGTACATCATGATTATATAAAGTGTCCATTGACAAAATAAGAAGAGCAAGTAAAGGGGGGAAAGAAGGGTAAATTTTGAACTTTTTCTTGAAATATCTTGATAAATAGTGGTTGGTTCACATTTTCATTATCAAATTTGTGATTTTCAGACAAAACTACATAAGTACCAAAAAAAAAATCCCAAAAAAAAACAATCCCATGATAAATGCAGTTTTACCTTATTTTGCACTTATCATGTGATGTTCTTTTTTTCAACTATTTTTTTGTAACATGTATTTTCATCTAAAAAAATAGGAATTTTTTATTAAAATTGCAAACAAAATGTCTGGGTAAAGGGCTCTTATCATGCAATTGGTTTTTTTTTGAATTTTTTTTTTGGTACTCGTGTATTTTTGTCTGAAAAACGTTAATTTCATGATAAAAATGTGAACAAACCTCTATTTATCATTGATAAAATCTGTAAAAAACCAAACTAAATTTCTCCTTATTTTCCCACCATTCTTGGATAGGCATTCACAGCTACTTGCCCCTCTTATTTTGTCATTGGTCATTTAATTTACTCATGATGTACCTAAAACACATTTTATATTCCAGACAAGGAGGCTTTAGTCACATCATAGCCTGTGACAGTTCTGACACTGTGATACAATTATGTTCTTGACGATTGATCAGTCAGCTGCAGATCAGTTACAAAAATTTTGTATTCAAAAATGTATTTTACATATCCCAAAAAGTGTATAACTCAGGTTCTATCAGTTCATTGTCAGTCCACAAATTCTTACAAATATTTGTTTTATATGATATTATTGTCCACTGAATATGGAAAAATCACAGAAACATTAAATTTCTAGTTGATTTGTGTATATAAAATGTGTCATTGAAGTACATATTGTGTAAGTATAAAAATTGTCCAATGATGATAAATAAGGAAAAAGAGTTGTAAATGCATATCCAAGAGGAGCCAAGGGGGATATTTTGAACTCTTTTTTGTGTAATATCTGAAAAAATAGTGGGTTGTTCATATTTTCCCATTTTCACTATCCTAATTCCTGTTTTACAGACAAAAATGAGTGACACTAAAATTTTGAAAAAAAAAAACTCGTTTAAATAAGAAGTACAAGATTATCTCATTGTAGGTTGCAATGTATGTGTCTGTTTCTGAAAAATTCAAATGCTTTGTGGAATAAATGTTCAATAGTTCAATAAAATTGTGATGTTAATATGAATGAAAAACATTTTTCCTGACTTTTTTTCTTTAATTTTAGCCGATGCTGTGGCTCTAGAGTTAGAGTGGAAATGTCTAGTGGTCGTGCCAGAAGAGGTGGTGGCGGGGGTGGTGGAAGAAGGGGTCGTTATTCCAGGTCAGTACATTGGATATTGTTGTTTTAATAAAATTTTCAACATTCTGTAGAAACCAAAAATGTGGCTTCAGTTTTGTTTTATCCCCTGTATTATAAATCATATTAACCTCTTTCAGATTTAGGTTCCTCTGAAATCCTAAACTACCATGGTACAAGATGATTCAAAATTTTTAATATGATTTTTTAGAAAAAAAAAAGTTTGGCAGATTATTTTTCTTACATATTTTATCTATTCAGGAAAAAAATAACCTTCAAGAATTCTACCTGATGTAGGTTATAAACCAATTGACTCAGAAGATACAGTACTATAATAACAAATAGGATAATATTGGTCTAGTGAATATTTTTTGTGAATTTGTATTTTACATTACATGTTCTATGCATCCATGCCAAGACAATATGAATCTGACAGTTGACAACTTCATAAATAATGAATAGGGGTACAGTTTTCAATAATACCTAGAGTTGTAAAAGTATGTTTTAATTTGAAAGTATTAACCTATTCTAACTCACTATCACAAACTGTTATCCTGAGTGCATTGTATTTTTCTCTTAATCATTGAAGTCGACAATATTTCGAATGAGAAAAATGTTTTCAACAGAAAATCAAATCGGCGATTTCACAAAATTTTAATAAACTGTCATTATCAATATATTTGCAATGCCATTTCATTTCCTTAAATTGACTAAAAGCCTACTAAGTATATGAAATATTCCCCAAAATTCCCTGAAATTCCCGGAATTTTCCAAAGTTCATTGAATTCACCTAAAATGTCTTAATTTTCCCTTCATTTTCCACTGGATGGGTATACGAGAAATTACTTGGCTCAAAATTTCATGGAATTCATAAAGTTACTTCAAAATCCACCAAAATGACTTCCTATCCACGTTATTTTTCACCAAATGCACCATAAATCCCTCTGAACTCTCATCGAAATTCCCCAAATTTTGAGAAATTTTTCAATAATTTCCGTATCATTACCCACTTAGTTCTAGAAATTCTTCTGAAAATTTGTTGGATTTCTTCAAAATCCCACGAAATTCCTTCATTTTGCAATAAGTGGACGAAAAATCCTCCGAAAATTTCCTGACATTTTCCCGTAATTTCTCACTGTGTACGAGAGGTTCCTCAGAAATTCTACAAAATTCCCTGTAATTTACTAAAATTCCTTGAAATTTTAGGATCTATCCTACATTTTTACCAAAATTTATGATAAATTTCTCTGGAAATGCATAAAATAAAAGTGTTTTGAAATTAAATGATCCAAATTTTATTCCATATTGATATATTAATGATATATATTTTTGAATTCAGAAAAACATTTTTCCTGAGCCACCCTATTTGTGACATTAAGAAAGTGAGCACTGATTCAAAAAATTCGTAAAAAAATATTCCAGGAAAGTCTCTTAATGACCAAGTTATGTTGAGAATCAGGATATATGGGGTTACACATTTAAATATTCGAATGGGACACCCTGTACGAGAAATTCACTCGAGGAAATCGCTCAATTACTTCTATTTATTTATCATTTCCTACTGTTTACTGAAATTCTCCTAAATTACTGGAATTTCCTTTGCTGTGATCCCCCCGCGCTTGTTATAGATGAAATAAGCACTATTGTGTATATTTGCCTAATTCACGATTCACAAGAAAACAAATTAGATACGTCACATATACATATAGGTTACGAATATTATAAAAACCAAGTGGTTAAAACTAAAAATTTATAGGTGAAGTAAAAATTAAAAACCTAAAGAAAAGTCTGTGTCAGTACATACATATGATATACAGACTATGCATGATAAAAACTGTATAAAAATTAATGTTTGAAAAAAATAATAGATAAAAAATAATACATGAGAAAGTATAAAATACATTGGAGGTCAAATATGAATGCATGGGTTTCTTGAAACTATTGAAACTCAATGCTTTGACGTAAGTGGGTAGTATGCTGCTCGGTATGCTGTGAAGATTTACATTGACCAAGTTTTAACTTGATTTTTGTAATCTGAATTCAGATGATCTTATCAAATAACAGCCTCCAGGGTTGTAAGTATAGAAATCAGCATTCTTTTCGTGATTATTTTTGTTTTTATGTATCTCTTGAATGGATTGATAGAAATAAATGGACGGTAACGTCATAATACTGAGTTCTAGGAGAAGCAGTCTACAGGAATCGGCGAGGGAATCGGTAAACCCTGGCCCACAGATTATTCTTAATGCCGTTTTTTGTAACAAGAAAACTTCGTTATCATTAACGCTATTTCCTCATAGTATTATACCATATGAAATTCTTGAGTGGAAGAAAGCATAATAAGCTGATGATACAGCTTGCAAACTAATGAAAGTCTTCAGTTTGCGAAGTAGAAATAAGTATTTTGGGACATTCAACAGTTTGACAGTTTCACCAAATAATGCTTTTGAGTTGTTTGTAGAGAATATTATATGTTTTGTTTTATTTTTATTCAATTTTAGATTGTTACTTCTGAACCAAGTTTCTTCTTTAGCTTGAGCCAAGTTCATATTTATTTTGCCAATGAACCAATTGTAATCCCATGTGAGCAAATGCATATTGCCATCATAGTATTGATTTTTTTAAATAAATAATTCCATTAGGTCAATATGTTTGATACATATCCAGAAAAAAAAACAGAGTGTCATTTAAAAAACAACCTGAAATGGAATTCTTCATGTGATTATCCTATTTGTTATTAACTTTTTGAATGGTATTGTATCTTCTGAGTCCTGTGGTTTGGACATACAAGTGATTGCTTTTGGAACTAACAATATGTTTGGTATTCGAACGTTCATATATTTTTTTACAGTGGGTCTTCGTATTTTTCTTTGTGCAATTGATTTTTCTCAAACCTTGCTTCCTATTTTCCCATATTTTTTTTTAAGAGAAAACAATCAAATTTCTGTCACTTGTTTTTGTGCTGACCTGAAAATTCTAAATGCAGAATAACATGAAATTTAATGAATATAATTCTGGAATCGTTCAGGGTGAAATCGAAAAGGTTTTAATTTCACTTGTAATTTTTATGATTTGAAAATTGAATTTTTTCTTTCCTTGCAATTCGGTATTCAATTCAAATGATAAACGTACTTCAGGTAATTTATTTGATCATCCAAATTTTATTTACTTTTACCAATAGTAAGCCAAGTTACAAATATTTTTTTATTCCGAGTACTTTGAAAAGTTGCTTTTGTACTATCCAAAATTCTGTATTTTGATTTATTTTTTAGGTTTCATCTTTTGTCTTTGAAAGTGAAGAAAATTAAATATTCATTTTGAGGATAAAATGTTCTAAATCAAGGTTTTTTTCACGAAAAAAACATGTTTTATGCAGATTCATGACATTTACCTATGTCAAATCATAAACTTTTACTGGTGGAACCAATAAGTATTAATTTTTACTAATAGACCTCAATTAGTGATGTTTCAATGAATATTACAGAATGATTGAGTAATAAATTATTAATTTTGAAAAACTAACAATACTCTTCCTTTCAATAGACATGAAATCAAAAAATAAAGCAAACTTATTCAGATGATTGGAAACAAGTTATCCAATGAGAAAAAATGAAAAATACAATTCAGTATTTTGATTCATTCTGTTCATTCCAGAAAATGAAGTTTGACCTTATGTTAAATTCCAATTTAATTGGTTTCAAATGAACAGGGTTATGTTTTTCGATTGTGGCTGTCCGAAAAATATACCGACTCAAAACGATTCATACTAAAGAGTGCAAAGAAAAATAAAACAGTAACAACGAAAATACACTAACCCTGTATAACGATTATCACGATTATTGGAAGCAGAGTTTTTTGTTTATTTGCAACGATTTTATGTATACATGGTGGTTCATATTCAACATTGAATATGTTGACATGAAGTTCTTCCCATCGTTCTGGTTCTGAAATATACAAGAATACACTTCTCACTCGATTCTTAAAAAGTTACGGGGTGTCGAAGTTAACAAAACTGGAACACTTTTCACCGTAACATCGTGAAACAGGCTGCAAATCTAAGGAATTTCGGACAGCATTGGTAGTTTGATCCATTGTTCACACAATCGTCGCCGTTTTGGGAAGAGTATCTCGTCAAAATATTCAATGTCGAATTTGCGCCACCTTGTACCGGGTGACACTTTATGAAGTACCGCCCCCATAAATTTTATTTTTGACAATGAAAAAAAAAACAGCCTCACGAGTGAATTTTTTTACTTCTTGAATCAACAGATACACATTTTTTCTTATGTGAAAAGATATACAGGGAGCAACAGAAAGTTTACGAACTTTGAATTGAACATCCTATATATTTCCTCAACAGTGGAATGACCTTTGGAAGATAAATAAAATAACCCGCTCAATAAAATTATCTTCCTTATTTCTCAATTTTTGTTGAGAAGCGGTATGAAATAATAGGTTGCATATCTAGGTATCTATACTAATATTATAAAGATGAAAGATTTGATTGTTTGTATTGAAAATGCTTCGAAACTACTGGACCGATTTGAAAAATTATTTTACCATCAGAAGCCCATATTATCCCTGATGAACATGGGCTACTTTTTATCGCGGGAAGATGCTTCATTCCTATGGGAAAACGGGTAATGGGACAACGTGTAGTTATAGTCACTGGATGGTAACCATCATCATCATCATCATCAAATATGCTTTATTGTCAGAAGAAATAGTTCTTATTGACAAAGTCATTGTATAGGTATTACAAAGTAAAATATTAAGAATGTTAAAAATATTAAAAATATTGAAAATATTAGAAACATTGAAAAAATTAAAACATTAAAAACATCAAGAACGTTATGGTACAAATACAGACATAATATAATGAAATGTGCAGATGAAGCCATAGGATGCAAACACATGAAATCAATCCTAAAATATAGAGGCAAGCGTATTTTAATGCTAACATAAGGGTTCACTACTAAAAAATTCCTCCACGTTGTAAAAAGGATGAGTGGATAGCAATTCTTTCAATTTTATTTTAAACAATCTACATGATTGAATTTCTCGTAGATGTATTGGTAAGCAATTATAAATTTTTAGTCCATTATAAATGAAAGATTCCTTAACAAGATTGTTTTTAGGTAGTGGTAGAGGTAATCTCAATTTGTGCGATGATCGCGTATTATGGTTAGACGAAACTATATTATATTTGTGACGATTCTTGTGTATTAAAAGCAAGTGGTTTCTAAGATGAAAATTGAAGTAACAGTGAGGATTCTATTATTTTTGAAAAGGTCGCGGCAAGAAATACGCGTTTTTACTTTACAAAGAGACCTAATGGCTCTTTTTTGTACAACTTGCACCATATGTAACAGTTGTTTGTTGCACACTCCCCAGAAAGCAATGCCGTAGGTTAGGTGAGATTCAATAAGAGCAAAATAAGCTGTTTTAGCAGTTGTAAAGTCCAATTCCCGTGATATTATTCTAATTGCGTAGCATCCGGTTGATAATTTTTTGTACACTTTCGTGACATGGTCGCTAAACTTCAACTTATTATCAATGTGGAATCCTAGAAATTTTGTGGAGGAAACATTATCAATGATATTTGTGCCTAAGGTCAAGGCAGAAAGCTCGCAGCGGAACGTTAATAGATTAGATTTAGTGGCATTGAAGACTAGCAAGTTATCGTCACACCAGGTCTTAATCAGTTCAATGTCTACTTGTATCTTATGATGTAAAGCATGCTCATCTTTGTCATGCCAAAATATAGTGGTATCATCGGCAAACAATGTATACTCTCCAGATTTATTAATTTTTGTGAGATCATTTATATAAAGTGAAAACAATGTGGGGCCAAGTACGGAACCCTGTGGCACCCCGCATTGAGTTGCCTCCTTTCGAGAGAGGTGGTTGGTTTTCACAATTTGTGTACGATTTTCTAGGTATGAATTGAACCACTGCTTGCTGATTTCTCTAAACCCATAGTATTCGAGTTTGCTCAGCAGACTGTTACTGTTAGTGTTTTTGAATGTTCAGATTTATTAAGTTGCACACCTTGCATTCGGACAACAGCATCATATGAGATGTTCTGCAATCACATTTATTTGCTTGTTTACCTCCGGAGCCGTTTTCAATGTCATTTGGAGCAAGGCACAATTTACTTTGGAGCGTTCTGTAATTTGACAGCCAGAAAAAAAATTAAAATTGTTTTGCTCAGATTATTTATTCAGAGGAATTAGATATATTTCAACTTTGACAGCTTTTTGTTGAATGACAGTTAGTGGTTATTGGAGTTTGAGCACTGGTTTCTGGTTCGGTTTGAATTATTGAATCTTATTGAATTAATTTGATTAGTATAAGCACAGTAGTTTGTCTCGCAGTTTGTATAAAAAGCCAAATATGAACGAAGCTAGTATAGTTTACACAGAAACAGGCGTGCCCATAATAGAAAATGAAAAAAATTCTATCCAAATCGGTAATGAATCACAATTTTTATTGGCATTGGTGTAGCATAGCAATGAATTGAAATTTTGAAGGTGAAAGTTATCAGTATGTGATATTACTCTAACTGATCGATTGAAGCGGCAGTTAGGCCTTCTTGCAGCTAGAGTATGACCCATGGTTTACCGGACGCTCTGTCATATACTTTTTGCTGCTTCCTGTATATTTTTTCAGATAGTGAAAATATTAATGTTAATTGGAAAATGAAAAAAAGAATCCCCTGTGAGGCTGTTTCTTGATTTGTTGTATTGTCAAAAATAAAAATGTTATAGAGTGCGATACTTTACAATGTGCCACCTTGTACGTTTGTGCCGAGACAGCCGTTTATAATGTGGTTTGGCGCTCTCACATTGCAGGCCGCTGCTGTCGCACTCTCCTCCCCCATGAGGGTGACAAAAGTGACAGGTGCCAAACGCCCCACGTGTCTCCATCTCACCCCATCGACCATACACCCTCTAGCGACCGTCCGAGCGTGTTTCGACCCCCAACAAAAATTGTCACCACCACCAACAACAACAACAACCACCACCTCCTACTACTTCTACTTCTACAACTCATCACCATCATCAAATCCCCGACAAAAAAATATTATCGGCAACACTGTGCATGGCGCTGACGGCCGTCGTCTGTCGTCCTACCGACTGCGCCATCTGCCATCTGGTCAACTCAACTCGACTCAACTCTATTTCTTCCAAAACAACTTGAGAGACCGGTGGGATATTCAAACTGTTTAAAAAGTTATAGATTTAAAAAAAAAGTTGTCTCGATGGGTGATGTTGAATTGTTGGTTCTCGTTTTCGAGTGGTTTGTACGTTGAGAATCTATTAATAATACATATAATATCTATTTGGAACATGATACGGACAGTCGTGTGTCCATCATCAGCTTTAATCCTCACAACCAGGGGTGCTTTGTACGAAATTTTAATTATAACTTGTATTGATATCATTGGACCTTTTAGCTCAGTAAAACGGTAACGATTAGGACCCAATCCGGGAAAAAATTCAAGTAGTCGGTTTTCCTGTGGTTTTATATGTTATTGGAGGTGTTTAATTCGAATCTGAATTTTGCAAACAAAATTTCCTGGAGCGTTCCGAGATATTAGCAAAAAACAGCGAAATTTTCGCACTTTTTTCGGTTTTTTGCCCGTAACTCGGAAATCATACATTATATCGAAAAGACCGCCCTATTAAAAGTTGAAGTAGAAGACATTTTCTAGTTAAAATTGTTCTTGCTCATGAATGTAGGACTGGAGGGTGCGGAGATAGAGCTAGTTGAAAATTGGCCGCCAAATTTGGGTACTTTGCAAAAAATAACGTTTCTTGTCGCAGATAATTCATATTTTACGTATTACTCAGAGACAGATATCGGAAAAACATCAAATTTCCTATCGAGCTCATGTAAATTTCGTCATTATGAAAAAAGATGAACGGCTGTTAGAGCACTCGAACTTGGAGACGTCTTTTAGTCGTAGTTGACACACTTGTGTTCATCCTTTCAGCTTATTTGATTTGGATCATAAGAACCTATATTCATTAAATCTCTAAAACGTATAAATAGGTCATTGTTTTGTTTTCGTATTCTGTGGGGTGGGGGACAAAAAAATTAAAATTATGTACGTTGGAATTATAGTTGTTATAATTGCGATACAATAATTCCAAATGCTATAGGGTATTTGAACATCTTGATAAAAAACTGATAAACTATTGAAACTATCAAAATTAACTATTTTATGATGAATAAGTATTAGAATCAATTCTCGCTCAGTGGGTTCCAAGGCGTCAAGGGAATGAGGCCTAGCAAAAAAGTGCAGAGCTCACATTTTACCTTTCTGTGAGAAAAGCAAATCTTAACACAGAGCTCAGAAAATGAGAATGAAGTGAAAAATCAGAGCTACTCCAGGTAAACGAGAAGAAAAGAGTTCTTCAACAATTCGTAAGCTAGTGAGTCTCACCAAACATGAGCTAAAGCACTGCCCTCTGAGCTATCACTAAAATAAATGGGTCTAAAGGAGACTGACATTAATCCGCGGAGCACCTTTGTTCATATAATGTACCAGACCGCCAAAGGCTGACTACCCTAGAACATGTCTAGATAAGGCCTGTTGAGACGGAAAATTCAACCGTCAGGAAAATATTAGTCTTCATAAGAAGTCTAGGGTTATAGAAAACAATTAATCAGATGAGGGTGATCCTATAATCTAAAATCTAATCGTCACTACATCGTCGTTTGGCAGGGGGCTGGTACCCTGAAGGACCCGGTTCTGGGGATGGTGGTGCAGGTGGAGAAAATCGTGTTTTCTCCAGGGTACTCCATCCACATCAAGCAGTCTAGTTCGTTCCATCGAGGAATGCGTAAATTTGGAATTATCTGCGAAAACCGACGAGATACGCTATTTTTTTAAAAGTACGCAAATTTGGTCAATTTTCAACTAGCTCTATCTCCGCATTCGTTTGTCCTACATTCATGAACAATGAGAATTATATTTAGGAAATTTTATCTACTTCAACTTTCTATAGAGCGGTCTTTTCGATATAACGTATAATTTTCGAGTTACGGGCAAAAAAACGAAAACAGTCCGAAAATTTTGTAGTTTTTTGCGAAATTTTGTTTGCAAAGTTCAGATTCGAATTCAGCACCTCCAAAAACATATAAAACCACAGAGAAACCACTACTACACTATTACATTTGATTAGACTATTTGGTTTGTAAGGATTATAGGCTGCTGATGATGGACAGTATGGACTTCTACATAAGATAATAAATAACTACTTTTTTTTTTATTCCTCATTATTGGTTATGAGAATTCAATGAATTCTATATATTACATGTTTTTGAAGTGAAAACCTACTTAAGCACGTGGGTGAAGAAGAACATCGGATTTCCCGTCATCGTCACTTCACTGTTTGTTACGCTTTCATGAAACTTTGTATAGACATTCTTGAATGTATTAGAAAGTCAAAAATTGAAGATAGCGGATCCTATATGGCGGACTAGTATTGTGATTTATATGATCCGACTCTATTCAAATTTAGTAAATATGGGGTTTTCGAGGTCGGAGATTATGATTCCTTCGTCAAAATTTGGAAATTCAAAATGGCGGATCTAATAAGTATCGGTTAGAGAAATGGTTGTGTATACTTAGTATAATAATCAATATTAATGAGCAAGACTGAGGCTATAGTATACAATTTATTCATTGAATAGCAACGAATTGCTGAATAAATTGTTTACTATAGCCTGAGTCTTACTCATTAATATTGATTATTCTAAGTATGGCGGACGAGTTTTTTAATTATGATCAGATTCCATTCAAAATTGGTATTTGGGGTTTTTGGAGTCGGAATCGGAGATAATGATTATTTCATCAAAATATGGAAATCCAAGATGGCAGATCCAATATGGCGGTCGAGTTTTGTAACTATGATCCGATTCTATTCAAAATTTGTATCTGCAGGTTTTCGGGGTCGGAGATTATGATCGATTCGTCAAAGTTTAAAAATTCAATATTGCAGATCCAACATGTTGGACGAGTTTTCTAATTATGATCCGATTCTATTCAAAATTTGTGTCTGGGATTTTCGGGGTCGGAGATAATAAATCATTCGTCAAAATTGGAAGATTCAAGCGAAATAAAGATAAGTAGAAAAATAATAATCTAATTCACAAGTGGTGTGGGGTAATGGGGGTAATTCTCCCCCCGTCCAGACGATCGAATAAAATTCAGGTTCCACACAAAATTAACATAAACATTACAAAATAAATCCTATTTCATTCAACGCCTAACTAGAATCTAATCTATTTCTTACTAAAAACCAAAAATGCCAAAACTGCAGGGTGCAAGTATGTTTTTCATTTTGACAATTCAATTTATGTATATAACAGACAAACCTATCTATCAATTTAAAGGCATTTGACCTTGAACACCTGAAAATTTTCGCCATCGGCGCTTTTTTGCTTCCAGTCAACCTTGCGCCATGAATTACCTCCTCCATGAAACTAAGTTGTACACGTGCCTGTGACGTACTACTTACGTACAGCTAAAAATACGAGCTGTTTTAAATCTTATGATTCGGGACATTTCGCTCTAACATCATATTTAGCAATTGTACCTGTGTTCAACCAAAACTGTCGGTGTAAATTGAATTTTTTAACATGAATTAAATACCGAATTCCTGATGAAATGGGAATTATAGATAGCTAAGTTCAATCAATTACTCACTTTTGCCACAGGGCGTTGGGAGAAGTTGAGCCTAAAATATTATCTTGTTTTTCCCTGTATAAGGAAATTTCACCAAAATCTGACGACAATTTAGACATTCAAAGGACTATCAATTTAGCTAGTTTTTTGCTGGCTGGGATTTGAATTTTGAATTTTTATTTATACTTTGTTGTTTGACGTACAAATCACTCGACGAGAAAGTTCATAAGAATAGTGGTGATTTTCACTTGAATTTGTCTTAATTTTCTGGAATATCTATTTCTAATAAATATGTCAATTCGTTACTGATTTTTTTTGTATGTTTCGTAGGTCGAGATCACCGAGACGTTCTCGTTCACCGCGATCGAGATCGCGAAGCCGAGACTCAAGAGGGCGCTCTGATTCCAGAGACAGACGTTGATTGCTAACAACGATTTCACATCCTTTACATTTTTATTTTTCGCTGGATATTCCGATTCTTTATTACCTACATTTTACTTTAAGTACATATATGTTTTTTTTTAATCATGAAGCTTTTTGGTTTTTATTAAAACTGAATTGGTAGGTAGGTATACATGTATGGATATTGTATTTGACGATTAAACTGATTTTTTAGTTTGATTGTTTTTTTATTTAATTTTGAAACCTTTGTCTGAAAGTTTAATACGACTGTACCCTATAATACAGGGTGTTTCATAATTGAATGCTGATCCTAAAGGGCGATGATCCTTGGATGATTTTAAGGAGAGAAGTTCATATCAACATATGTCCTGAACCTATTAGTTCCAAAATGGATAAGAATTGAAGAAAAAATCTGGTTCTCAGAAAAATCAGTGGCGTACTATTTCTTTTCTTAAAAAATCGTCAGTTCAAACCCCGTACGGACGCCACTGGTGAACATTTTTAAATATATTTCACGTAAAAAATGCTCCTTAATAATGAAAAGGTGTATACAAAATATCATAACAATATCTAAGAGTGATAAAAAGTTATGATGAAAAACTCATTTTTTTCTTGAAATTTCATCACCCTGTAGCTCAATAACTAAGAAGTTTAGGACATATGTTGATATGAACTTTTCTCTTTGAAATCATCCAAGGATTATCGCCCTTAAGGATCAGCAGTCAATTATGAAACACCCAGTATAGGTAATGGTAGGGAGTACAAAGATAAGAGGTATGTATTGGAATTTTTTTGAACTTTTGGAGGTTATTAGATCTTTTGGGAATACTTGCAATGGCCAAGAATTCCAAAGCTTTGCCGTTCTACAGACGAACGAGTGTTGGTAAAGTGTTGTTCGACATATTTCAAGGTCAACAACGAGAGGATGTGCTGACTGGGCCTGTCGAGTTCGTCTGACTAGTATTGCCAGTGGTGGATTGATAGCAGAGATTTCTGAGGAACAACTCCTGTGGAAAGTATCTATAGAAAAGTGGAAGGTCGCCGACTTTTCTACGGTGTTCTATTGTGGTCAAACATTCTCCAGATGAAATCTCAGATCATCGCGTATGATTGGATGCCGAACCCCATATGTGAGAACAGTATTCAAAAACTGTTCGTATCTGTGCTTTGTAGATCATGAAAAGTTGTTGAGGTGTGAAGTAGACCCAGCAAACATGAATAGGCGTAGATTCCCAGATAACACGAAGACGTCCTGTGTACGTCCAGAGGACGTACTGAAGACGTCCGATGTTACAAGATAGAACGTCCCAGGGACGTCCATATTCGGTCCAAGTTTGGTATTTGATCACCATGAACAACGTAAATTCTCCTTTTGTCACTAATATAGATGAAAAAATACAGAGCAGAGAAAAATCTTGTTTTGAATACAAAATCTTTGCATTCCAGTTTATTTTACAGCACCCATTCAGTAGCTCTTATTCCCTGCACCAGTCTGTACAGGTTCTTCACCGCTTGGCTGTTGTATTTTTCGGGAGTGAGCCTAGGCTGCCCGAATATTTCTTATCTTTTTCGAACCAATGCCTCGCATTCTATTAATAAGTGTTTGGTCGTCTGTCCCTTTACCGCATTGTCTGCAGAGAAGTTCTTCATTGTACAGTCCCATTTCATTCAGGTGTCCTCTCGTTGGACTGTGACCAGTGAGAAGTCCCGTTATTAACACAATAAACTTCACCAAATTCCTTTCTGTTCGTTAGCAGCGTGGTGTATGCGTGACACGCTGCAAACGCGAATGCCAACAAAATCGAAAACAAATCAGAATTCATCGTATTGTGACGTAAGCATGAGACGTTGTGGTGGGGCAAACAAAGAAAGGGCACAAAAGAACAAAAACAATACTCTCAATATCCTTCTAAGACCTCTTTGGGAAGTGCATATATTACGCCTCAAAAAAACATCCTCATGCCTACATTTCTAAAACATCCCAGGGATACCTCTCAGTAGGCAAACAAAGAAATGCCACAGAAGAACAAAAACAATACTTCAATATCCTTCAAAGACCTCTTTGGTCAGTGCATATATTACGTCTCAAAATAACATCTTCATGCCAACATTTTCAAAACATCCCAGGGATGTTTGTGCTCGCTGGGATATGTAGCCTCGGGTAGCTGTTTTTGTAACCCCGAGTCCAATGTATGGAGTTGACGATGAGCCGGTTCTTGCCAGTTCATCAGCTTTTTCGTTTCCTACAATGCCACAATGTCCTGGAACCCATGTCAGGGTAATTTTGTTATGGTCTGACAGGGCATTGAGATCTTCTCTGCATCCCCCTGCCAGTCTGGATGTCACTTTCGTGTTCGTGAGAGCTTTCAGTGACGCCTGGCTATCGTTGCATATTTAATAATAATAATCATATTATAGTTATTTAACCAACTAGTGTATTAATGAGGACGATTAATGATCGAGATATTTTAACGTGCGAGCGAAGCGAGTGCGTTAATGTTCGAGATCATTAATCGCCTTTTAATATACAAGTTGGTTACAAAATTTTTCCGTCGACTATGTTTCTCATTTCTCCTGCAATGAAGAAAACTTGGTTCGCGAATTCATCATCCATCCGGAAACTGCTAAGAATCACCCAGTAGCCTTGTTACTGACATTAGTGTCATTTGACATTTGTCGAAATGATCAACATAGGAAATAAATTCCTTCTGTTAGAAAACAGGGATTAAAATCGTGTCAGAAACTTGGAAAGGCGAACCCGTTAACGGAAAATCGTCGATGAAATCCATATTTTCGATTTAAATGCATATTCCGCTAGTTATAGCATGAACAATGAATGCACGCGGTGTATGTTTGGTTGCCTATAAAACAATCGTGCATTTATAGACAAATCGTCCATTAATAGGGGTCATTAATGAACGATTTCATATACATTAAACTTAGTCGTTAATACAAGGTCGACGGAAAATGTCTTTTTCTACTCACATAACTAAAATGGCATTTAGCGTACGGATATGTACCATGCCAAATGATCGATTAATCACGGAATGACGATCTGTGATTTATTCAAAATATTAAACAACGTTACCATGACAACACGATTTCTTAAACACATTACCATGGCAACAAAGTTCATAAAACACAGCTTCAGTAATTTGAGACATGTCTGGTCAATTGTAGGAACTGTCAACTGTCATTTCCGAATTTTGTATCAGGATTATTCAAACAATTTCTGTTTGTATCAGAATTCTTCAGTAAAAATATATGCGAAATGTAAACGAAAGTGAAATCAAAGAGAATGTTTTGGTACTTGCAAATCTCCAAGATGTGTAAAAATGAAGCATCCATCTTGAGAACAATTTATTTATTCTGCGCTAAGCATGACAATAAACGTGTCCCACTGTGCAAGAACTCATACTATTAACGTTATTTCATTGTAACCAAGATACGTTGTTACGTTGTGAATTTGGTGCTATTGACATCTCAAAGATTATCTTAGAGTCGTTATATGTCCACCAACAGTACAATATCGCAGGACGTCGCAAGTACGTTGAGTAAGAGTCGAAACTGATACGTGTCATGAAACAGCTTTGTTACAGTGAAAGTACATTCTCAAATAGTATTTGCGATAACTTTTTTACGTACCATGTCTTCATTTCGGAATGTAAAAAGTACATATCCCTGGACGATTTCATAACATTCCTGTTTCATTATTGTTGACTCTCTTGTAACATTACTAGGATATTTCGAAATATACAGGGTGGTACTCCAAAAATGTCCACCCTTGTAACTTGGTTATTTCTAGACCAATATTCGTGAATTCTGAAAAATATTACTGGTATAATCACATATAGCTGGATTTTATCACACTGGGTTTTTCATAATATGTGGGACGCGTCCTCTCATTTCTCCCACTACAGAGAACGATAAATAGGTATAATGAAGCAAACTTGGTTCAATCATCTCAAATGTATCGAAAGAAATAAAAAATGGTAGGTATTTTTAACAACTTGGAAACAAAAGAGTTCTGGTCAATTCTTTGAAGGATCATTTATTATTGTTTTGATCTGCCCTATCACATCTTGATGTGCGTCCCATATATTTTGAAACACCCAGTATATATTTTCTGGCTGAAAAATATACCAAATAGTTTTTGAATTCTGCGATCGGTCCAGATATGACCAAATTTACAAGAGGGAACATTTATGTTGGATCACCCTGATATTTACTATAGCCAGTTCCATTGCTAACTACCTACTTATCACAGGACAAAAATAAATACAGAAATGTATTCAATCAATGTATGTAAGGTAGAACTACAATTGAAAATAAATGGATATTTGATTGACTAATTATCCTTCCACGTATTTCACTTCAGTTAGTTCAGTTCAATGATTCTATGGGCGAATCTATTTCAAGGCTGAGGATTTCATGAAATGCACCTGAAACACCAAACAATTGTAATACACAATATCAGCATCAAATATTCATATCATCCTACCTCGATTCTGCCTCGATTAGTTCCCTTCCTGATGGTGTGTTCTTGATTCTCGATCCTCTGTGGCAGTGGGTGGATTTTAGAATGTTCTAGCCCAATGTAAGAGTTGATTTTCATGTTGTCATCATTTTTTCATACGCCTTTCAAGAATAAAGGACTTACTGATTTTTGTGTCCCCCAAATGTCTCTATTTTTGATTGAATGAAATCCCAGATACTTGGATTCTGAAATATATACCATACCTAAGTAGGAAATTTACATTACCTACTATATGCATCCCACTTTTTTATACCTAAACTCCCCAGGCAAACAGCAGATGTGTAATCCATCATTTCTACTAAAGTAGGTCAGAGGGTAGGTTTGTCCAGAGCTCACGCATGTTCTACAGTAATGTAGGTATCCATCAGGTTCCGAGGAAACATCATGAGTACTGACCTGTAAACAATGTAGTACTTGAAGACATTGATATATTCCAATTAGGCAATCCAACGACCTGTCAAATAATTTCAAAATGGCGTCTGGTTGGCAAATAAATCAAAGACAAGTTTGTTTACTTGAGAACTTTGTGGGTTTTGGAAGCCTCTTACAGTATTATTTTATCGAGTTTTGGCTAGATTTATTGTGAATAATGAAAACTCAGTATGATTTCAAAGAAAAAATTGCCAGTAACGTGAATTGTGGTGGATTGTGGAAGCAGTGCAGATCGGGACCATTTGCTGTT